GATGCAGTTGATGCTACTGGAGCAGTTTTTCAATCTGCTCTCATCTGACCTTAAAGACTGGGTAAGAGACCGTCGCCCACTTACTCTCTCCTAGGCAGCCAGGCTCGCAGATGAGTACACAAATGCTTGTAGGCTGGAGCAGTCTCATGCTTCCCGAATCGAGTCCCCAGCACCAATCACAGGGGGGAGCTATCAACCTCCTCCATGACCATCTTCAGCAGTGTGCAGACAGCCCCAGACGACCGGTCCACGCTGCTACTGGTGCAAACAAGTGGGACACTACCACAAAGATTGTCCTTTTGAACAACCCAGATCCAACTGGACACGGCCAGGGTTCACCAACCAACAGGCTGCTGCACACTGCATGGACTACAGTTGTTAATGATTAACGGCAAGACTGCTCAGGGCCTCAGAGACACCGGGGCCACCATCACTTTAGTCCAACAACACTTGCTCAGCAACAATAAGCTCCCCGGAAAGTCACAGTTCAAGTAGCCTGGGGAGCAATTTACAGGCTTTCCACTGCCCAGGTTCACTTGGATTGGGGCGCGGGAGCTGGTACCATAAATGTTGGGGTCATGAAAGACCTACCCGCTGACATATTGCTTGGCAACAATTTGGGGCCACTAACTTCGGCCTTTATACCCTCCACCCAACAGGATGCACACAACGTGACCACCAGGGCCCAGAGCCATGCTGCAGAGTGACTGTATGAAGTGACTAGAAGAATTGACTATATTATTATTATTATTATTATCACCATTTATATAGCGCCAACAGATTCCGTGGCGCTTTACAATATTATTAGAGAGGGGATTTAACTCCTATAAATAGGACAATTACAAGAAAATTTACAGGTTGTAGCAGTTACCCCGTGTAGCAGAGGGGTTTCAACCGCTGGAGGGTGTCATTTTCCAGATCAGTGAGGAGGATTCTCAGCATCCAGTCGTGTTCCAAGTGAAGAAGCTCTTACAAGAGCTAGTGTGAATAGCTGTATAGCGGTTACCCCCAATAACAGACAGGACTCTAGATTGAGGGTGAAGTAGAACTGAGGTTTAATGACACACACTCTGCTTTTATGCAGTGCTCCCCTGCAAGGGAGAAACCCAGAGGCAATTAGACATTAACCAATCAGACAATGGTTACAACCCACAGATTCCCTCCCCTCTGCTTGGGAGATAATTGAGTTTCTTACTGTATCTACTCAATTATCTCCAAGCTAAAACTTATACTTTTTTATGCATTTTTATAACTTTATGATTTTTCATCCTACATGAATAAAACTATATTTTTATGAACAACACAACTTGGGGACAAACATATTCAAAATTCATACAAATCTGTTCAGTGGTTCCAGAGATATTGAAAAGTCTCTCTGGACCGACCGCACGCCTGTTTGCATGCCCAAAAGAGTTCCACAGATTCAGGCTGTGTGGTCGGTCTATTTCTGCCTTGAAAAATAACAAAGTCCCATCCGAAGGCGGTGTTCAAATAGTCGAACGCACGTCGACTTCTGTCGAAGTGTCAGAGTAAAACGGGGTTAAATTTCCGCAGTGGTCGTTAGTTGAGTGGCAGTCTATTTTACACGAAAAAGATGACAAAGTCCCATTCGAACGTGTGTTTAAATCTTCGAATGGGACTTAGTCTCCAGCCGCAGTGTCGAAGGGTAGGGGAAGGTACGGGTCAGCGGTGTTCGTACAAATGTGTGGCTGATTTCCGTTACAGGGATTTGATGGCACACTCCGCTGACCGCGTTCGACTGCATTAAAATGGCCGCCACCACATGTTCAATTGTCTAATGGCGGACACTTCAACTACTTCGGCACTTCGGCTGTATCCGAAGTGCCATATCAAACGTACCCATTTTTTGCACAACACAGTTAAAGGGCCAGAAACAGTTTTTGTTCTTAGGTGCAGGGCAATGTGGATGATGGCAGGAAAACAAAAGGTAGAGGTTCCCAGGCAACATTGTAGGAGGCTGGTACAACATATATTACAGATCCAACGCAAAACAGGGGGATCTGTTACACAGTTCCCCTACTGTTCTCTATCTATACTGCCTCCCTTGGTAAACTCATTAGCTCCTTTGGCTTCCAATATCATTCCTATGCGGATGACACGCAAATCTACCTGTCCTCTCCTGATCTCTCCTGGTCCCTCTTGACTAGTGTCTCTGACCAAAACTGAAATTCTAGTGTTTCCTCTCTCAAGTTTTGCTACTCCGGTGTCTCCCTCCAAGTCAATGGTGCTACCATCTGCTCCACCATGCAGGCTCGCTACTTAAGTGTTCTCTTTGACTCCGACCTCTCCTTCACGCCTCATGTTCAGTCTATCGCCAAATCCTGTCATTTCCATCTCAAAAACATTGCGCACATCCGACCCTACAGATGCGACTAAGGTGCTGGTCCATTCCATAGTCCTTTTTCTCCTTGACTACTGTAATTCATTTCTCAGTGATCTTACTTGCTCCCAACTTTTTCCATTACAGTCCATAATGAATGCGGCGGCGAGACTCATCTTCCTGTCTGCCCGCACCTCCCACGCCTCACCCTTCTGTCAGTCCCTACATTGGCTTCCTGTAAGATATAGGGCTCAAATAAAAATTTTGGTTCTTCCTTTCAAATCTCTACATAATGCTGCTCCCACCTATCTATCCTAACTAATACACAAGTATGTCCTGTCTAGGCCCTTACGCTCTGCTGAAGTATGTATCTTCTTTCTGTACTCCCACCTCTGATGCTCGCCTTCAAGACTTCCCCTGTGGAACTCACTTCCCTCCTCCGTTAGATGCTCACCCAGTCTCCACTCCTTAAAAAAATCATTAAAAATCCACTTCTTCATAAAAGCGTATCAATTAAACTGTTAATAGCTCCCAACTGATTCCTCTCTTGCAACTGTCATTAGTCTAATACTATACTTACCTTCTGTGTCACTTTACCTCACTCCCTCTAGCATGTAGGCTCATTGAGCAGGGCCCTCAACCACTCTATTCCTGTGTGTAACAAAACCCCTCTGTGACTGCATTAGTTATGGTGCTTGTTCCCTCCCCTACAATGATTATAGTGTGGTTCTCCTTTCTGACATTTTATTGCAACAGAGGACACGTCCCTGGACCTTGTTTTCCCGTTGTCATTTTTTGGATTTTATTTAAAGGCACTGGTTCTGCCCCTTTGCAGTGACACTTCGGATACAGCTGAAGCGCCGAAGTAGTCAAAGTGGCCGCCATTCGATATACGAACACGTGGCGGCGGCCATTTTAATTCAGTCGAACACGTTTTGGTCGTCGAGTTCATGGAACTCAAATCAGACATGCGACGGCACGACCACTAAACTTTTACATTCTCCAGAACTCCGACTCTTCAAAAGGAATCGAAGTGCATTCGACAATTCGAACGCCACTTTAACTTGGACTATTTGGACGAATGGCCCCCCATTCGTACATCCGAACGGAACTTAGTAATGGGAATAGACCAGCCGCACAGCCTAATTCTCTGGAACTGTTTTGGGCATGAAAATGTGCATGCGGTCGGTCAAATGTGACTTTCACAAAACTTTTGAACCCCTGCTCTGTTACTGTGTTAATTATTGTTCCTATTGGTTTGTGTTCCTTTTGTCCCTGTGTTCCATCAGGTCCAGGGGGTGTGCCTCTGGCCTGAAAATGAGTATAAAAGTAATCCCTTTGTGCTCAATAAACCAGACCTACTTACCCTCAACTCGCAGCCTCATCTCGTGTTGTAGGGAACAGCTATACCTGCTATATCACTGCTAGCTCTTGTAAGAGCTCTCTCTTCAGCTATACAGCTATACTAGCTCCTCAGGATATCGGGTTGGAACCCTGCAGCGCTCTCCAGCTATGGGAAGAAGGATGTCCAGATGGTAGATACCCCCACTCTATAGGGGTAACCATCACACTGTGTGTCTGGTTACAACTACATGTCTATTCGTCCACCCACTGTAAAGCGTTGCAGAATTTGTTGGCGCTACATAAATAATAACATAATAATAATAATAATAATAAGGAACGATAAGTTGAAGAGGGCCCTGCTCAAACGAGCATACAGTCTACAAGAGGTGGGGTATAAAACACATTAAGACAGGAAATAGCAATCAAATAAGGTGAGAGTGAAGCAGAGCTGGAGGAGAGAGTAGAATGCTGCCCTTTAGGAGAGAGCAAGAGACAGGTATGTAAGGTAGAGGTTA